ATGTACATGAAATATATATAAATACGTGCTGATTTCCTTAATAAACGATCTGTTGCCTGGCTGGCCCTTGTCTTCTGTTGTTTCATGTGTATTTATGTATTTATATATTTTTGAGGCAATTCACATTACTGTCTGTTTATTGTAATTAAAGTTGACAATGACTGCTGGAGGAACAGCAGTTGATTATTGAGTGGTGGTGGTGGTGTTGGTGGTGATTATGCCACAGGATGAGATGTAAGCACGTTTTTGCGAGCAACTAACTAACTAACTGTGACCAACCAACTGACCGACTAACACTACTTAATAATGTAAGTATACTGAGTTTCGGTTGTATGTCTGAAGGTTCTCATTACATCTTCCTGTCTATCTGTCTGTCTGTCTCTCTCTCTCTTTGTCACCTCCCCATTCCATTTGTGTGGTTGTGTAGGCTTTGGTTCTATCATCATCCTTTCGATGATGATATCAGGTAAGAGATAATGTTAAGTGAACCAAATGATGATGTATAGAGTGGGACATGTCACATGTGTGTATGATGAGATTGTACAAAGAAGGTGTCAGTCTGGATATTTCCTCTTACACCTGGTGTTCTTGGCTAGGTGGATATTTATCCATTAATGAAAACAAAACACGTAGATCAGCGAAGAGTCTCTTTTCGGCGAATTCATTTTCTTAGCTGTACAATCGCAAATATATATGCATTGTTTTGTATGTATGTGTACATTAAGTTTGTCAAACAAAGTTACAATTGGTTAAGGTTACTTTTAACTAAACAAGTGAAAGTTGGTAATACAGGTCAAGAAAATTAAGTGCTAATGAAACTAGGGTAGTAAAAAAATGATGAGTTGTCACAAACAGTTGTAATAATAATAGTGAGTTTTACTCAGGATGCACATAGAAACAAAGTAGATAATACGAAACTATGTAAGAGATCTAAGTGGATACAAGAATTATAATTGCTTAAGGTTATTTTAACTAAACAGGTAAAGGTTGGTAATCTAAGTCAAGACCATTAAGTGCTAGGGTAGTAACAAAGGTGATGAGTTGTCACAAACAGTTGTTAAAAGAAGTTATGCAATAATAATATGAATAGTTTGATGAGTGAGTTTTACTCAGGATGCACATAGAAACAAAGTAGATAATACGAAACTATGTAAGAGATTTAAGTGAATACAAGAATTATAAGCAATTAAGGAACAGGCAAAGAAACAAAATTAAGTCATCAAAATAAAAATAAAAGCTCAAAACAAATCAAAACATTGTTACCATGAGAGTAGAAGTGGTTGAGTAATCTTCTTTTGTATGCACAGCTCCGGTTTTTCCATGTGAATGGCCAGAGCTTCAGCGATGCAAAGGAGACGAAACCGTATTGCCTTTGATATGTTATTCTTGACTCTGTAGATTACTTTGAAGGAGGCGTTCGTTGAAATGCAATGATCAGTGTTGACCAGGTGTTCAATTATCGCACTCCTTATTGCACCAGTATTGCCTTTTCGCAGCCATGCTGGATAATGTTCTTGAATTCTCTTGGACAGGATGCGCGTCGAACGACCGATGTACCTGGCTCCACAGCAGCAGGTGAACTGGTATATGCACATAGAAGTGGCCAGATGCGGGATCTTGTCCTTGAGGCTTCTGCAGATCAGTGGGCGACTGGAGAACACTATTCGTAGCGTTGCTGCAAAGAACGTTCTTCTCAGAGATGATGTGATCCTTCTCTTGAGAGTATCGCTTGCTAAATCTCCCTTGAAATCCAAATTCATGTAGATTTTCTTTTTAGGCACAGTTAAAGTTTCGTTTTTCCGAATTATTGGTTTCATATTTTTGTCGATAAATCTTATTGGGTATCCATTTTGGATGAATATTTCTCTCAGAATATCTAATTCTGTTTCCAGAACGTCGGGACTACAGATGCGTCGGATGCGGGTAGCAAGTGATTTAATTAAGTTTCGCTTTTGTTGAATGGGCACCCAGCTATAGAAGTTTGTTAGTTGACCATTCCACGTAGGTTTTCTATGGATTGATCTTCTTAGGCTCCCATCAGCTCTTCTTGTCAGTTCCACATCAAGAAACGGAATTTTTGACTCGTTTTCCATTTCAAGAGTGAATTTTATTGCTGGGTGGCAATTGTTAAATGTCTTCAGCAGCAGATTGGGGTCGTTGTTGTTGTCACATATAATGAAAATGTCATCCACGTATCTTTTATACAGTCGCAAATTGTCGATGCTTGGCTTTAGTGAACCTCTCTCGAGGCTTGCCACGAAGCAATCTGATAGTAGTGGACCCAACGGAGATCCCATTGCAATACCATCCTTTTGTCTGTAGATGGTGTCGTTGAATGTGAACTGGACGTTCAGAGTGCATCTCAATAATAGTTCTTTCAAGTATGTTGTCGGTATTCCAATATCGAGGTGGTTGTCATCTATATATCTGCATATGAAGCAGACCGTTTCTGTGAGTGGGACATTGGTGAAAAGTGACTCGATGTCGAAGGACAGCATAATTTTGTTAGATACATTCGTGTCTTGTATGCACTCGATGAACTGGAAGGTGTCACGGAGCGAGTACGTACATAATTGCTTCCTTACAGGTTCCAGAATATCTGCTAGCCATTGTGCAATAGAGTGGTAAGGGGAACCTGACATATCCAGAATTGGACGAAGTGGGAGACCAACCTTGTGTACCTTTGGTAGACCATAAAGTCTTGGTATTATTGAACCTGTTGGCCGGATCTGATCGTAGATATCCCCACTGATTAGTTGACTGGCCTTCATTCTCTTCAAGACATCTGTGAGCTGCTTCTCAATCTGTTCCGTCTTGTTTCTTTCATTGGAAGGTTGGGAAAATTTGTCTTCATTCGACAGTATATCGTTGATTTTCTCGATGTAGTCTCTTCGATTCAGAAGCACTACACCCGCACCCTTGTCGGGTCGAGTCATAAGTAGATCTTTGTTGTCTCTCAACTGTTTTAATTCCTCTCGGTGCCGCTTCGTTAGGTGGTTGCGGACTTTTGATTTTGAATTCAAGTATTGGTGGCAGCAGTCCATGATTGTTGACTTGAATCTCTGTAATTCGTCTTCAGAAGTTGGGCTGAGATCGTGCGTTTGGCTGATTAGATTTTCAAACTGGACCTGAGTATGGAGTTTGTCGGAGTTGAAATTTATATCGCAGAATTTAGGGCCCAGAGATAGGACTTCCAGTTGCACGTCGGTTAAATGTACTGAGGAATAATTGAACACAAACTTCGTGGGTTCGTCAGGAAATTTGCCTTGAGGTTTCATCTGCTTAAGGCTGTTGTTGAGCTGGGTTACGACAGACTGCGACCGTTTATTCGCAACCAAGTCGATATATTCGGTGAATCTTTGACGTTCATCCGAAGTCAATTCGTATAAGGCAGAGGACCTCTGATTGATATTCCGCTGCAGTTCGGGCATACGTGATCTGATAGAATCAGCACAATTCATTGCATGGCGTTGAAGGGACTTCGTATTTGGATATATATGATTGCGTCGCAGTGCTTTCCAGAACCACTTTGGATACTGATGATTGGAGACGCAATCCTCGAAAAAGCCAACTTTCGCTTTCCCCACAGCAAGCTTGACAGAGTACCGCAGAAACCCATTGAGTTCCTTGACTGTCGAGGGGTCCTTGCTACGTTTCAATTCATGGATAATCCAACTTTCACTTGTTTAGTTAAAAGTAACCTTAACCAATTGTAACTTTGTTTGACAAACTTAATGTACACATACATACAAAACAATGCATATATATTTGCGATTGTACAGCTAAGAAAATGAATTCGCCGAAAAGAGACTCTTCGCTGATCTACGTGTTTTGTTTTCATTAATGCCTGGATGGGGATTATCCATGAATTTATCCATTAATCATACACATCATTTTTTCTGTCAGCATACTTACGCTTAGTCTTCTTATCCGGATACTGCTTAATATGCTCCTCATGTGATGTGCAGGGTTGCATGTTTTGGCTTAAATACAGCCGGGTAGGGGAAATAGGTAACCAGCTGTACTATTGTAACAACAGAAGACAAGGACCAGCCAGGCAACAGATCGTTTATTATGGAAATCAACACATATTTATAGATTTTCATGTACATTATTATAGATTATTGTTATCAGAAAAACACAGTCTTCTGATTGGTTGTTTCTCACAGAAAGTTAACCTTGCATCTCTTTGTGGCTGTTTCTTGAATGTCAGATCATCTATATGTTAATTGTACCCGCCTTTGTTCTCATTCTTCTCACGACCAATATTGGGGACATTAACATTGACGTAAATTACTGTCTACCAATTTTGGCTGGCAGCTAGCTCTCACCACACTATAATGGTTGTTGGCGTTAGTCAAGCGGTCAGCGCTTCTGTGTCCCAGCATCAGTGTTCCTATTCTATTGAACTCAGCGTATTGCGAACTATAAGGCCAAATTTATTCTATTTTCCGAATTGGAAGTTACGGATTAATCTGCAATTTCGAAATTCGATAATGCTAGTTTGTTGAAGAAAGTAGCTAACCAGAATTTGGTTGATTTGAACTGATGTGGGTGGACGCCTCCCTGAACTGAATGGAGCGCTACTTCCCGAAAACCACCTAAACGACCTTCTGTGTTGTTTCGATCTGGCTGGCTGGTTAGCAAGCATTACTTGTCGATTTGGTGTCCAACTGCTCATACCCATCAATCAGTAGTATATAATGTCATGTTTTTGTTTTGTTTTTATTGTAAAGTAAGCTTTGTAGTCATTGTAAGTGGAGAGTTTCAGAAGTGATGCGAGGGGTTGCTGTGTGATGAACCGTCGTTAATTAACCACGAAGTCTGTTTCGTTATACACCCAACCTCTTGCTGTTCCATTTTGTGTTTAGCTGTGAATATATATATATATATATATATATATATATATATATATATATATATATATGTTATATTCTGTACGTTGTCTAACTTTGCGTCTGTGTGTGCGTTTCCTTTTCATTCCCAATCCATTCAACTAGATGCTACCTGTGTTCAAATAAAAAATATCCCCTTCGGTCTTCATGTCTGCGTCATATGACCCTTGTGCGTGAACTTGGAACATCAGAACTGGATTGGAATCGTATGAATGAAACAAATTATGGTAAGGAAGTGAGAATTCTTCTTTTTCTTCTTGTTTTTATGTTTCTTTCATTAATGTGTATTTTGTAAGCTGAAATACTCTGTTGACGACGACTGTGTGACAAGCTTTGAGATAGCTGCTTGAACTCTCTTCCTTCCTTCCTTCGCCCAGTTGACGGTTAACAACATGTTATGTGATAACTAACATGCACTTCTACTGTGGACGACAGACGATTTAGTTAATGATGGTAGCCTCTTTGACATCGACTTAGTCTGTTTAGTTGATGTATCACTTTAAAAGATGCTTTTATTGATGATATATAGACTCATTGATGACAACGTTTCAACGTGTACAAATTTGCACTGAAAAGTGTTGTAGGTAGGAGTCAAAATAGTCACACTCCTCCGTTTAGCACAGAAACGAGAGTGAAAAGAAGAGGAATTTAGAAGTCTACCATAATAAGTGGAAAATTCGGGGGAGAAAGAATAGTAACATGGAACAACAACAAAAGGGTTTTTAGATATTTAGATATGAGAGACCATATAGAGTGAATTGAATTCATCTGTGCCACTGAGAACAGTATTAAGCCACGTGTCAGCAAAAGTCTCCAGTCAATGATTATATTTCACTACAATAAAGGAGGGATGGAGTGAACTGTGGTACGCGCAGAGTATATACATCCTTTGATCGATAGCTAACTGGATATATCACATCTAGGCGATAGATGACTTTTAATTCAGTGACCCCCACCACACACACACACACTCAAGCCTTTTGTATCTGTGTTGAGGTCAACCCATTGGAGGTGATGTGTAACTTCCAAATAAGTGAAGCATGAATGCAATGAATAAAAGGTGCTCAAGAACTGAGTCATCAATGAGTCAACCTAATTTCTCCTTTCGACAACTATATTGAGAGTTTAGTTAGAGGATTTCATCATGAGGTGACATTAGATAGAGAGCCATTGGAAAAGCCGCTGGGAGTACTGGACAGTTGTCTCGTCCTAGCAGTACGCGCCCACCGGGATTCGAAGCCCAGGACCTTCTGGTTACAAGGCTAGCGAGCTCGTATACCATTAAGCCACTGGGCCCACAACACAAACCAACACTTGAATATCAGTGAGATGCTCACTAGGGACTTTCCCTATTCAGGTAGGTAGGTAGTTACCTGGGGTTTTAGTGAGAAGTCGTGACCAGTAGGGTGCAGCAGGTCGTGAATTGGCAGAAGTTAGAACTCATTGGCTGACCATTGGATCGGGTTCCAGTGGCTTAATAGTCTACGAGCTCGCTAGCCTTGTAAAGAGGAAGTCCTGGGTTTGAACTCCTGCGGCGGGTGCGTACTGATGAAGAGTCTCAAACCAGGACGAAACAGCTCTCTGGCAGTACTCCCAAGCTGGTTTTCCAATGGTTCTCTAACCAATGTCAGCTCATGATGAAATCCTGTAACCAATCAACCAAATCCTTACAAACCAACACTTGAGTATATTGAGAGATGCTGTTGTACATGTCTAGACCATATCACACTTGTACATGTACACTAATTTTATTCCTATTTTGTTTAAATTCAGTTACGCTGACTAAGTCATCAATGTACACCAGGTTATATGAGCTTGATGTGAGAGAAGGCTGATAATACTATTACTACTGCTACTACTACCACTACCCAGTGGTGTCCAATCTCTGCAGTAGGTCGACGGGGATTTGAACCTTGTGATCCTCCCGCCTGACTGACTGACTGACTGAAAGCAGCGTAGCGCAGTGCTGAGAGTGGTGTGGTCAATTAGCCATCCATCTACTTTATTTGCTGCAATACTACTTCAATATAGAATTGACTAGTTTACCTGAACTGATGGATTGATCTTGCCTAGAAAGACAATGAAAGCTATGCAATTAAATCAATCCAATATGAGAGAACTCATCAACTCAACACTACACCAATTATACCATCCTATTTTTGTGGATTCATCAGTTGGTTTTGTACTTAACTAGACTGTTGAATGTGTGGAATGTTGGGTAACTGTAGGGTAATTGTAGTAAAATAAATAAATATCCAGTAATCTAATTGAATTTTTAGATTTTCCCGTCGGTTGATTGATTGATTGGACCGAAGTGCTCGATCTCAGGTTGACATGTCGGCTTCTTGTGCAGATGCTTCGAGCATCGGTGGGAACATCATCAGTAACTGAGAAATGCAGGTACATCCAGCTAGTTGATGAGTCCCAAATAGAACCAAATGCGTATCCTGACTGGATGCCTCTGCTAGTCACCACCATCGGCAAATTAAATACCCAGTGATCTGTTTGCTTAATAATAGTAATAGTAGTGGCGTGAAATGAAAGTGACCAAAAGTGGTTGTATTTATTGTGTGTGCTGAACTCTAACTTGCATCATGATTTGACACTTAATGTTGTTTCCTAAAAAAATGAACTCACACACATATTCGTAAAAGTGATGATTAAATTATTTTAGTGATATTGAAAATCTCTGCACTATATGCGTAAATGACTTCACTGTGTTGTTGTTGTGGGATTTTGATTCAATCATCATTGCCTCATAGATAGTCGTTTGAATTTTAAAACTGTAGACTTCAGGGCAAAATGCGTGTTGTAGCTGTACGCGAATTTGTGAGCTTAATTCAATCAGACGACGCTGCATAATCCACCATATCGAATAAATGAGTGAATTACACAGAAGAGACTTTAAGTTCAGTGTGTTGCGAAATCAGATTTCTGCAACAGTAGGATGGTGATGTGGGTCTGAACCTGAATATTCGTTGGCATGTAGAAGGAGGAAGAGGTGGAGGTGGGTGTGGAAGAGCAGTAGGACATCGACTCCTTCAAGATCTTGCCAAAACAAAAAGACGACGTGATTTATCTGAAACGTGTAATGTATTTGCGTAACACATCTCAGAGATTCTAATCGCACACACACATACACACACACACACGAGTACTTGTCATACACATATATTATATAGAAGGCAACAGAGCATAATTAGTGATAATATGTGTCAAACTGTGTACGAGTCAAGGTCATAAGTGAGAGGTAGGAAGAGGGTGAAAACAGTGTTAAGCAAGTTGAACCTTGGTTCTAAATTGGATTACCAAGGTAGATTCAGAGTGATAACGAGTAATTTTTGGACACATAAAACAGGTCTTCATCGAATTTGTTTTAAATATGACTTTGAAGCATTATTGAAGTGAACCTAGGGACTCGTCTCTATGATGATGATGTGCTTCGCGATAGATGATGTTGGACATCTGTTTCCAGAATCACTTGTATCCGGTGATTTTATTCGTCGTTGCAACCACTTTGGAATATGTTCTGTAGCCCTAACCTACAGAGACCGATGGGTTCTCCCTATGTACATGTGACCACACATACATGTAAATTGGTAAACACGGTGGGATGTGACACTACTGGTCGGATGATTTGATGGTTTAGAGAACAGGATAAATCTCGTTTTCTTTATGAAAATAAGTTTAACTGCTGCATAGCAAGTTCTATTAATAACCACCCTAAGTGTTTTTTTAGTGACTATTAAACCTTGATGATCGATGACCCTTGAATGGTAGAGATATATAAACATTCCTTTTAGATACTGTCTCACTTCCATGTAGACCTTCTGTAGACATATCGTCTTATTGATCCATCTTATCGACTAGCTATGAGTGCATCTCAGAATGACAAGTGATCTGCATTCTTTTTCACGTGTGTTAACGATATACTGTTCTGTATTGTATTTATCCGGTTAAGGGTTTTGTATGTCACATCTGTCAGTTTGTTACAAATGACTAACTATTATGTCATCTACGCATCTTTTATAGAAGGGATAAACCTTTCCAATTAAATCCTCAACTAGCTTGTCAACATCTGGAAAATATATATATATATATATCGGCTAACAATGGGCAATACCACCATTCAAGATCTTCAGTCGTATACGACAACGAGTGCTAATAAACACGACACCTGAGTGTTTATGGAAGAAGACTTCCATACAGCTGACACTAATCCCCTCCAGTAGTATTTTACTCTACAGTGTTCTACTCGTTCACAATTGAAGTTGTCATTATAGTCTCAGTATGGAAGAATTCTATACCCATTCAAGCAAGCTCTGTGTGTCTTTATGTGTGTGTGTATGTGTATGTGATCCTTTCCTGTGTATGCTTCACATCCATTTTCTGCCTAATAGTTTATGCGACACACGCACTTATTACACTGATCTGTTATTACTACTACTCCAGTGTGTAAAGCATAAGTCACTTTGACTGAGTTAGTTAATTAACTAAGCCACAAGAAAATAAGTAAATGAAAACCAAATTGGTTCTTGAAAATGACTCTGATGCTCTCTAGTTGCCTGATGGAATTCAAATGAGAGAAGTCATCTGACCAATGAGGCCTACCCGGTTGTTGGAAGTGTTTGGACAAATACTCACCAACGTTGACATTAGCTAGCTGGTGCACCTAGTCAGTCAGTCAGTCGCGCTAAAATCACGAATTGATAGAAATCAGTATTCATGGGTAGTTGGCCATTGAGTGTGTTGGGTCTACAAGTTTGCCTTGTGACCGGAAGGTCTTGGGCTCTAACCCTGGCAGTGCAGTTGGGTGCATACTGCCGATGAGTAGTCCCAGACTAGGCTGACGAAACATCTGTGTCCAGTACCAGTACTCCTGATTGGTTTCCAATGGCTCTTTCTGTAAGTGATATCAGTCGGTGAATGTTGATCTTGAGAGGAGCATGAATGATGGAGGAGGAGGAGGAGTATGTTGTTGCAGTCGGAACACTTCTGTATTTAATTAATCAAATAATTAATTTTTCTTTGTTTGTTTATTTGTTAATTTTTCAACACAGTCGCATGTTCTACTCTAGCTGGATCTAAAAACAATAACCCTAATTTGTTGCCGTTGTTGAATAATAATACCCCAACTACTATTGCATCCGCTTCAACAGCACCACCACCGACGACGACGACGTCATCATCATTGTCGTCGATGTGTGGATCAGGTGAATCTGCTCGTGAAGAGAATGTCAACAACAACATCAGCGGCGGTGGAGGCGGCGGTAATCGTGGTGGTGGTCTTGTCCTAAAGATATTCCGTTGTAAACTTTGTCATAAGTTTTATAAGTCACGACGTAGTTTATTAAGACATCAAATTTCACATCATGAACAGTCGGATAGTCAGGCAGGGGCAGACGGGCAAACTGAGTGTTGATTGGTTGATTGTCACATTGACTCATACGTCTTTCTCCATTGTATGTCTATTACTGTCTTATGCACAGTTATGTATACATTACATATATATGTATATAATATACAGTTTGTACAGACACACAGACATAAATGTATGCGTTTATTTTCACGATGCATTTGTTATATATTCATAGTTTTTTAACGATTATAATTGTACATATACAGGAACCCGAAATTCAGATTTGTTCATTATTATTACTATTACTCATTGGGTAGATTTCAATTATAAAATTTGAATAAAGCGTTAATGTTGTTGTTGCTTTTGTTAGTATTGACTTCAACGTGGTCTCTTCTAAAAGAGAGACAAAGTGGTAAGAAATAGTGAACGGTGGAAAACCGGTATTGGTTGAAAAGTCTCTGATTCATGCATGCATGCACGTTCTTTCATTTATTCAGATTACAGGTTAATTTCAACATGGATGATTTCTTCACAATCTGACAACATTTAGAAAGAATCGCTAGAAGGCCTACAAAACAAAGCATAGATGACTAGCCTTTAGGACAGTTCACTAACAATAAATAATTTGATGACCTGACCAAACATCAGCTCCACGATCTTGGAGATAATTCAGAGGTTGGGTTGTTGATCATTCTGCAATCAGTAGGTGTAAATTTTATTGACTCATGAATTCATAACTTTTGTCTATTCGAAATGTAGTGCTCGGTGGTGGTTGCCTTAATTTACTTAAACGCATAAAAACTTGGTACAATATGGCACCAAGAAGGATGCGCCATACAATAATAATAAAACAACATAGATCAAAAGAAAGAAAGGGAAAAAATATATAAGTAGAGAACGGGTAAAGAACTTCATCCGGAAGGAAAACAGTCATGCTTAACAAGTTCAAACAGTATTCGTTAACTATCATCTGGAAGGAAAGAAAGAAGGAAATTGCAACACGTTCGCCATTGATTACGATTCTTGGCCATATCCGATAACGTTTCGAGCCATCGATTTGAGCTTTCCCTCGGACCCCAAACAGGGAGTCGTGACACACTAACTGATGCTAATCTAGCACAAAAATCCTTCATCACACGACGCCACGTCATGGACTGACCACCTCTCCGCCTTTTCCATCCCGTCCCAGGGCTGGCCAGCGAACAGAGACCTGTACGGAAGCCTCTGGGATGACATTCGCAACACATGTCCAAGCCACCGGAGCCGGTGTTTCCAGATGACGACACTCAATGAGTGGTGATCTCCACTGTGTTCAAACACACGCCGCCGAACCTCAGAATTACTCACGCGATGATGCCATCCATCGAACGCAAGCAATCCTGCGGAGACAGCGATGATCGAACACGCAGAGTCGCCGCACATCCTCAGCCTACTCGGAGAGGCCAGGTTTCACAGGCGTAGAGCAGGGCAGCCCGCACCGAAGCATTGTATACCCAACCTTTGACAGCTAGGCTAAGATCGTGACGGCGCCTTAGGTGGCTCAAGTTGATATATGCCACCCTAACCTTAATTACACGGTTGGAAATCTCCGCCAGCACTCACAAAACTACCCAGGTACACAAACTTATCAACACCTTCAAGCGGTTCACCCGCAAGAGTGAGTGCAGGCACAGGCTACTGCCAATCTTGTAACAGTACTTTGCACTTAGAACGCGCAAACCACATACCATACTTACAGACACTGATCGCCAACTGATTAAGTGCGACTTGGGCAGCCTGCATGCCATCCCACAGTAAGACGATATCGTCTGCACACTCGACGTCGATAAGTCTGTCTCCAGGTAGCAGATCTACACCACCTTCACGCACATCCTTCAGAGCTGACTCCAGAATGTCGTCGATGGCAAAGTCAAGGAGAAATGGAGAGATTGGGCAACCCTGTCTAACCCCACTGTTGGTTGGGAACAGTGATGATAGTTGGTTGTATGCCCTCACTCTACCCGAGGTGTTTCTGTATAGGGCTTTCAAGATGTTAACAAATTTCTCAAGTACACCTCTCTCTAACAGATGGTTCTAGAGCACAGTTCTGTCCAACGAATCGAAGGCAGCCCTAATATCAAGAAACACATCGTGTGGCGGTGTTCCAACAACTGACGAAGGGTGAACACATGATCAATGCATCCACAACCTGAACGAAACCCAGCCTGCTCTTCGCGAATCAATCCCTCACGTATTTTGCACAGCCTGTGAAGTGAAGCAAGACAGCAGCCAATATTTTAGACGCGACTGGTACCAGATTGATACCCCTATGATTGTCACACGAATTACGTCGACCCTTTTTAAAGATGTGGATGATAATGGCTTCGTTCCACATTGATGGTACACTCTCTGTCTCCCATACCTTCCTGAACAACCCAGTTAGAGCCATTTTGAGAGTCTCGCCACCATCTTTAAAAAGAGCCGTGGGTAAATTGTCTGGGCCGGGCGCCTTATGGCGTTTCAACACTTGGAGTTCCTTACGAACCTCCGCTTCGATGGGTGGGTCGGTACTAACCGACCAAGTAGCACTGGAGCTAATGACAGTAGACACTGAAGCTGGTGGCCAGCTAAACTGTTTCCCGAAGTGCTCTGCCCAGCGTTCCAGGTGTCTTTTCAAGCTGGTAATTGGCGTGCCATCTGCTTCACAGACCGTCTCGCTGATACCTTGTTTCTTGATGCCGATGGCTCGTTCGATTTGGAACAGCTTCCGACTGTTGCCAGATGCAGCACCTGACTCCATCTCACACGCACGTTCTGACCACCAGGTTTCGCGGTCCTTACGTAAACACTGTCTAATCTTGCGCGTGAGCGCCTTTCGCTTATTGTTGTATTCTCTGTCAGCCGGAATGGACCGGCGTTCATCCAGGAGTTGCAAGAACTCGCAGAAACCCAGTGGTTTTTAGCGGAGCATTCTTTCAAGCTGCAAGCGGCTACACTCGCCCTTTTGCATGGCACCTTGCACATGAAGCCAATGTTCATTTATAGTACTTGGGGGGTTGCTGGCAAGCATCGATTGTAACTCATTCTGATATTTCAAAAAAGTAGCAGGTGCTACTAGTTCGCTCACTTCAACGTTTAGACGACGGCTTTTATGAACCCCACCAAATCGCAAGACGAACTTGGAACACACTAACGCATGATCGGAGTCCAGGCATGTGCTCCAGAAGGAGCGACAGTCTTGTGCGTGACATGGCGACGCTGATGCTTGATTACAAGCCTTCAGTTAAGCGAGTCGACTTAAGCGGTGAAGGTCAGAATCCGATGTTGAGTGATAATTTACAGGGTATTCGGCTGAACATCTTGAGAGCTTTTACTAGTCTGAAGCAATAAATGTTGCTTCATAGTTATATTTATGCAGTAAGTTTTGAAGGTAGACATATAAAATTGGATTTTCTTAGTGGCATACATGTCAGTATATGTTAGCCTACTTCATCGGAATTGCTGTGCTTCATTATATCTTGATAGATTTCGTTCAAACTGGTAGGGTGGGCAGGTGGTGGGTGGTACAGTATATCATCACTAGACATTGTAAGAGTCATTTAGTCAAAGATGTGAGATCGTTAATTATGAGTCACTTCGCACGACTACACCTGCAGGCCAAATTTTATCTGGTGATTAACGGGAAGCCTTTCTTATTACACATACTAAGACGTCCAATGAAGCGTAAGTAATCAACGGTCCCTTGTAACTGGTCAACGAAGTTGTCAACGAATCGGACACCCTTTCTAATGGTACTCAGACTGATATCATGGCATCAAATTAGACTCATCTGCATAACTGTTTCTTTTTATTGTACATGGTGGTCTTTGAGAAAAACTAGTTTATGAACATATACATTATGTAAAACTTGGTCAACTCAAAAGGAGGTTTGGACAAAACACGATTCATCTGTTATTCGTACTCTGGTTTAAACACTTCAACTGTTTATAAGAGACACCAAGAAACGGTGCAGCTTATACTGACAAGTCACTTCCATTCACTAACTGTTATCTTATTTGTAGAATACTCCATTCTTCATATTATCACCTTCTTTATTTACATTGCATCGGTTAATGCTTCCTCTTAAATTATTAGCCTGCAGCATTCATCACTCACCATCTGACGCTGACCTTCACCGCTTAAGTCGACTCGCTTAACTGAAGGCTTGTAATCAATCATCATCCGCGTCGCCATGTCACATTCATGCATGCTCCCCAGCTAGCCTTAGCATTCAACACCACGCTACGACGAATTTGACCTCTGAATATATTTCATATTTTGGATGATCAATCTGTTGTTTTGATTTGTCCTTGGTCTATGTGGAATAAATACTGTGGTAGTTGTGGGTGTAGGAACTTGAATTGGTACACATGGTAATTCGTGCCAACGTCATCATTGCCTCATCCCTTAGATGCCTGTTAGGCAATGCGCTCCACCCACGGCCATTCAGTATATTCTGACCTGTCCATCTGTAATACAGACAACGAATTAAGAATTACTTTTGGGATTGGTTAATATGGACCTGTAGGATCCAAGGTCTCAAGGAAGCCGATGATTATTCCTCTGAAGATAAGAATACGGGTTATAGCACTCCTTCGAATGAGTCACAGGTGACAGAACCACTTATCTCAATAGGCTACAACAAATCCGTCCAGAATAAAATGAAACCAAAAATCGGTACAATGTCTTGATTTGCCACTGTCCATTCATATCGGTTTACCCGAAGTGTTTTCATATATGTTGAGAGAAGAACTAAAACAGATATTGTGGCTATTCTTCTCCTTGATGGTGATGAAATACAAGGCTGCTGATAAGGTTTTCCTCGTTCAGGTCTTCTACTGCAGTTAGGCAGTCCAGGTGGATGAATACTGGATTCAGACATCCGACGGATGGAGTACTGGTGGTAAGGGTTAGCGATGACCTCCTCTTAATGCCTTGTGCCAAGATACAGTTTTAGGCCATATTTTATCCTTATCATGGTTATATAGGATAATGTCCATTAATCATCCTCTATAGCTTCAGCTTACTGTGGGCAATGGTGTAGGTGGGTCTCACTTCTAAGATGGTTCACGTATCCTGGTCGAATGGCGTAACCACTGATCCTCGGATATTAGTATTAGCAAGTAAGTAGTTAGACACATCAGTCAAACAATGAGCACAACAACTCAATCAACGGTATCGCTCTACTCGCGTTTCCCGAATATTGTGATGTAGGCGTGATTTAATCCATTACCTAAATACCCCAACTAACTTCGAGACAGCGACTGCAAATGATTACAGATTATCA